GAACATTTGCATTCCCGTCGGCAATCAAACAGCCATAAATAAGTGCCCTAAACATTTTTAGAGAACAGGTCAACCGGCCAAGCAGGGCTATGTGCTGTTTGGTGTTTTTAGTCAGTGGATTTTTTTGAAAACAAAAACTTCAATCCTTCCACTGGTTCAATCTGCCAAGATGATTCTTCTGGGTGGCTTACGGCCTCGGTTGCCGTGCTGTCATCTGTAGCCACCCCCTCAGTCCCGCCTCCCAAGGGCTCTTGGTTCACTGCATGCTTCACTCTGGTATGAATCCACCTTTACACTGGTATGTGAAGTTAGCAACACCAAGTGGGGGCCTCTCCAATCCTCCTTCAGGGACTCATGCTTCCATGTCTTTACGTAAACGTAACCTGGCTGAAAGGTATGCACTGCCCCATCCAAGGTAAGAGGCTGCACTGCGGCCGCAGTCCTATGTAAGGAATAGAGGAGAGACTGCAAGGCAATTACATGTTCTCATATAAGCTTGTCCCCTATTTCCTTTTCATCCCCACCCCTCTTTGATACCAGTGGGAAGGCGGTGGAGAGGCTCCATGGCACCCTCCCCTCCTGGAGGCCTCCCAGCAGTCTCAGGGTCGGGGCTGGAGGGAGCGACCAGGCTGTGCGTAGGCCGGCGGGCCCGACCAATGGCCCCGCGCAGAGTGAGGGCGGGACGCTGGGCAGCAGGTCTGTGGGCGGGACTGACGCCACAGTGGAGGGGAAGGCAGCCAATCGAGGTACACCTTGTGATGGGCAGTTCCTGCAGCCAACTGATTCTGCCACACATAGAACGTTGCCAGACCACTACACATTTATATAATAGGACAGGATTGGATTTTGCTTATAATATTATGAGTGCAGTTACTTGTACGTTGATGGCATTATGTTATTGTATTTATGAAGGAATCACTGAGGATTGCTGTATCTGAATATGCTTTATGGATGTATACATGTCTCTTTTAAATGCTGAATCCAGCATGATTCTTGGAAAAAATTATTGAAATTGATTTAGAACCGGGGGGGGGGGGGGGCGGGGGGGGGTCCGTTGAGTCAGCTGCCAGAGACACTACTACATCCTTACAAGTTAAAGGACTTTTTTGAATTTGTTACAAATTGTTTGTGGAAAAACTCCACCTGTGAATTCCTACCTGTGATCAACTTTGCCAATGAATTTCTACCTGTTGTTTATGGAAAATTTGTTCTGAGTACTTTATATGTCTATTATTAAATCCATTGATTATTGGTGTTAAAATGGTGTTAAAATTTGGCCACATGCATTTTTTCTTGTTTTCATATATTGCCCTTGAACTTGTATGGCCACTGTGTGAGACAGGATACTGATGGACCATGGGTCTGATCCAGTAGAGCTCTTTTTATGTTTTTATGTTCTTTTGGAATTCAGCTATCAGTGAGGAAGGAATCCTCTTCCCTGCACGCCCTTGTTTGTAAGGGAAAGATGGGGAAATTTTTTTTTGCAAGTGTGATTACATCACTTCTGGGGGAAATTCAGAAGCGATAGCAATCCCTAGGGCTACTGCCATCACGTCCAGGTCTTTCTCAGAAGTGATATCATCAGGCTCACGCTGCCAGACCCCTGCCTCCCAACATTCTCGCCATCTGCCAGGCTTGGCCTGTCAAACCCATTTTGGAATCTATAGGCTCTCTCTCTCTTCCTACAAGTCCTTTCAAAAAGTACTTAGAACAACATTTCAGTGATGTCATGTTCCTTTACATACAGTATCTTGCAGGGTTAAATACGGTTGGGACAGTTTGGAGGCGACATTCGTTTTAAAATGACATTTTGAAAAGACCCTCCTCTGAGCAAAGAATCTTCTTGATGGGTTTACAAATTACCGACACTTTCATCCTAGTTGGAATATTTTGGCGAGATGTTCCCCCAGGGAATGACAAACGTGGCTTGTTTTCTCCACTATCCTTTCCAAAGTTTCTGACAGAGGAAGCTGCATGAGGGGACATGGTCTTTCAACGACTGGGCTCCATTTTTGTTCAAGATGGCAGGCCAAACTCAGAGACTTAGAACATAAGAGCCCTCCTGGATCAGACCAATAGTCTACCTAATCCAGCCTCCCGTCTCACACAGTGGCCGACCAGTTCCTCTGGACGGCCAACAACAGGGCATAGAGGCTGAGGCCTTCATAAGAACATAAGAGCCCTGCTGGCTTAGACCCATACTCCATCTAGTTCAGCATCCTTTCTCACACAGTTTCCAACCAGTTCCTCTGGACGGCCAGCAACAGGGCATAGAGACCGAGGCCTTCCTCTGATGTTGCCTCCTGGATCTGGGATTCAGATGCTTAGTGCCTCTAAATGTTGAGGAGCCACTTTTTCTCCGTGACTCTATCTAATCCATGACTCTACCTAATCCCCTTTCAAAACCGTTTATTCCTGGGGCCATCTCCACATCCTCTGGCAGAAAATTCCAAATCTTAATCCCTCCTTTAGGCTTCTGATGGCAGGGCTCCTCGGAGTTCTACGGGGCCATATCTAGAGTGACTACAGAGCACAGCTGTTGTAGGACTTCGATTTCTCCTGTTAGGCACATCCCTGCTAAGCCTCCTTCCCTCCCCAAACTCTGCCCTTGCCTAAGATCCCAGAATTTCCCCAGCTAGAGTTGGCAACCCTGTCAAGTCATTCCCCGGTAGTCCTGGGCTGGCCAGTCACCTCAGTGAGTCCATCTTACTCACCGCCCAATCAGAGACCCACAACTGTTGTTCCGCTGTGTTGCAAACTGTGATCCTGAAGACACTGTGCTCATCAACAGTGGCTTCTAATTGCGATAGGGTATCATAGTAACAGAAACACTGGCCTTCTTTTTAAAATACTTGTAAGTAAACAGTGACATGGTTAAAACTTACCAGATTTATAGTAAACTATAGCACTGCAAGCTCAGTACCTCACCAGTGAAGGTTTCGGTCAGCTGGAAGGTACATAGTTCGTTATCTCATGAATCCAGTAGCACCTGAAAAACTAACAAAATTTGTTGCAGGGTATGAGCTTTCATGAGTCACTGCACACTTCTTCAGAAATCCCAAATCCTGCCACAAACTTTTGTTAGTCTTTTAAGGTACTGCTGGACTCTTGCTCGTTTCCGCTGCTACGGACAGAGTCACGCAGCTGTCCATCTTGATCTGTTGTCTCAGAAATTCATAACTTTTATCTTTCTACGTTATCTAATCAACATTTAGTTTATCTCATTATGACTCATTTTCATTCATGTATCTATTAGTTTAACCAAAAATATTATTGTACTGTAATGTCCTTTCCCCCTATTTTTATAAATTTTTAAAATTGGAACAGGGCTTTAATTCAGAAAATTTACACCATGGCATTTGACTAAAAAAACTTATTGCATTCAGAATTAAGGAAGAAAGGTGGTTTTTTTAAAAAAAAAGCTGCCCCAAAATTACTTTCTTTGGAAGTGTCCACTGTACAGACTGGAATCACTGTGAACTGCTAAAAGCAGTTACGACTTTTCAATATCACCTACTGGACCCTATACAACATACTGGTGTTAGAATCAATTAAAACAATTAAACAATTAAAATTAAAATATTTTTACGCTGTTCATTTTGAACACTAAGTAAATGTAGTTTATTCTTGAATTCTTATTTTTCTTTGTACTGAATGGGTGGGGAAGTTTGCTGAGTGACCCGAAATACTTGGGCCAGGGGGACGGCAGGGGTGGGGGAGCCGTGGCTCACTGGTTAAGCAGAGGCTTCGTATGCAAAACATTCCAGAGTGAGTCTCTGGTACCTCCAAGGTCCTGTGGTACAAGGTGCCAGGAAAGGTCTTTCTTAGGGTTAGAAAAGTCTTTCCTGAAGAGCCACAGCCAGTCAGAGCACATAATGCCAGGGGCCTGATGTCTCTAAACCCTGGTCCAGTTTTGCCCCACTCAGCCACTGAAACAGTGATGGATTCAGACTCTTGTAATTTCACTGAAATGACACAATTTATTGAAGCACAACACTCAGTTCTCCTCGGAATACAGCTAATACAAGAACCACGATGGCTCAGGTTAAAATGGGGTGGGGGGATAGGCAGAACCATTTAGAGTAGATATAACATCAAAAATAGTGAATATAACGGAGCTCCCACGGCTCACAGCAAATACAATTGAGACTAAAGGACACTGTAAATTAACCAATAAGTCCAAATAGCAAATGGGTACCTTAGAAGAGCTCTCTCTCTCCCAAAGAGTGCACCCCCCCTCAATCCCCCCACCAACCCGTCTAGTTAGAAGCCAGGCCCTCTAAGTTTCATACATCTGAGGAAAGGACCAAGGATCCTGTCCAGCAATTCCAGGGAAGACAAAGAGTGTGAAAGAGGGACCGCAACTAGGATTGCTAACTTCCTAGTGGGGTCCAGAGATCTCCTGGAACTCCAAGGGATGCTTCCTTGGAGAAAATGGCTACTTTGGATATATAGTGTCCAAGCTGCCCTCGTAGAACCAGATGCAGAAGAACACTCAAAGTACATGTGAAGTCTGTAATGTCATATTTCTATGCCAGGGACATGAAAAATACCTACTGGCCTTCTGTTGCCAGTACAAACAGTGGCACTTTTCTTGGGCCCAGAGAGCAGCAGCAGCAGCATCTCTTCTGCCTTTCCCAAGTTTCTGCTGCAGTTTCCCCTCCATGCCTGCTCTCTCTCAGTCAAGTGAGTTTTAGGCTGGAGGCTGACAGTCTGGCACGGATTCCCCTCCCTCTCCCAGGCCACCTTTGTTTTTAGTCCAGAATTTGGCCAGAGGCATGAGCCAATGGTGTAGTGGTTAAGAGTAGCAGACTCTAATCTGGAGAACCGGGTTTGATTCCCCGCTCCTCCACATGAAGCCAGCTGGGTGACCTTGGGTCATTCACAGTTCTTTCAGAACTGTTCTCTCAAGAACAGTTCTCTCAGAGCTCTCTCAGCCCCACCTACCTCACAGGGTGTCTGGTGGGGAGAGGAAGGGAAGGAGACTGCAAGCTACTCTGAGACTTCCAAGTGAAGGGCGGGGTATAAATCAAACTCTTCTTCTTCTCCTCTTGCTCACAATCTCGGGACCAGGGGCTCTTAGCAGGAGCGGAGAGAATCGCGCTCCCCCCCCCCACCCTGCACCTAGCAGCCAGGAACATCACCAGCCTGTGAAAGAACCTGGCAGAGAACCCTGGGTAAAATCTGACTCAGCTTATCCTTTTTTTATGCACAGACAAGTGCTTGTCACATTGACCTGGATCTGTGGATCCATTCCATAATAACCTGCCAGCTAGACTACTGTGATACGTTCTGTAAGGGTCTTCTCTTGAAGCCAGAAACTCCAGCTGGTACAGAATGCCTCAACCCGATTTCACAGTCACGCCACTGGCTACTTGTTAGTTTTAAAGTTCAATTCAAGTGCCTAGTTATTACTCACAAAGTCATTCTGGGCCTAAGTCTCACATCTCTACAGGACAGCCTCACACGGCAACATCTTTGCTCGTATCAGTGAGATCAGCAGCAGCCCAGAACAGAAGCATTCTCCATTATGGCTCCCAGTTGGTGGAATGGCCTGCTTGATGAGGTCAGGTAGACCCCCACAATTTTATCATTCCACAGGATGTTTAAAATTGAATGGTGCTAGAGGACATTTTTACAAGGGAAACAGGATTGGAGAATGTTTTAGTCAGTTTTACACAATCTCTAAATATTTTTAGAGAGCTTTTGCTGCATTATGTATTGTATGTATTATACTGTTTCGTTGCCTTGCTTTCTAATTTTCTGATCCAATTTGCTTTGATGCAATGTCTAGCCACAGCGTTTATCTGTTTCTCTTCCCAATGTGAGTTTTTTGATGTGAAGTAAGATTTCAACTCTTACTGAAGCTTCTTCCACACTCCAGGCATTTATATGCTTTCTTTCCCGTGTGAATTCTTTCATGAACAGTCAGGGCAGTTCTCTGACAAAAACGTTTTCCACAGTTCATACATTTATATGGTTTCTCCCCTGTGTGAATTCTTTGGTGGGAATTAAAGCTTCCACTATGCCTGAAGGTTTTTCCACACTCCAGGCATTTATATGGTTTCTCCCCTGTGTGAATTCTTTGATGAGAAGTAAGTTCCGAACGGAGACTGAAGTTTTTCCCACATTCTAGGCATTTATATGGTTTCTCCCCTGTGTGAATTTTCTCATGGCGACGAAGATTTGAACTCTCGTTGAAGCTCTTTCCACACTCCAGGCATTTGTATTTTTTCTCCCCTCTGTGAAGTCTTTGATGAGAGTTAAGGCTTCCACTGTGCCTGAAGGTTTTTCCACACTCCAAGCATTTATATTTTTTCTCCCCTCTGTGAATTCTTTGATGAGAAGTAAGGTGTGAACGCAGACTGAAGTTTTTCCCACACTCCAGGCATTTATATGATTTCTCCCCTGTGTGAATTTTCTGATGGACATTAAGATGTGAACTCTGATGGAAGGTCTTCCCACACTCCAAACATTTATATGGTTTCTCCCCAGTGTGGATTTTCTGATGGCAACTAAGATGTGAACTCTGACTGAAGCTTTTTCCACACTCCAGGCATTTATATGGTTTCTCTCCAGTGTGAATTCTTTTGTGCAAAGTAAGGCCTACACTATGACTGAAGTTCTTTCCACACTCAGGGCACTTATATTTTTTCTCTCCTGTGTGAATCCTTTCATGGGACTTGAGGTATCCTCTGTTAGTGAAGCTTTTCCCACACTCCATGCAGTTATATGGTTTCTCCCCTGTGTGAGTTCTTTGATGGTAAGTAAAGGAATCTTTCCGCCCAAAGCTTTTTCCACACTCCAGGCATTTATATATTTTCTCTCCTGTGTGAATTCTTTGATGCAATTTAAGGCTTCCACTCTGACTAAAGCTTTTCCCACATGCCAGGCATTTATATTTTTTCTCTCCAGTGTGAATTCTTTGATGGGACTTGAGGCTTCCACTGTCTATAAAGCTTTTCCCACACTCCAGGCAGTTATATGGTTTCTCCCCTGTGTGAATTCTTTGATGGACAATAAGGTGTCCACGGTGACTGAAACTTTTCCCACACTCCAGGCATTTATATGGTTTTTCTCCTGTATGAATCCTTTGATGGGACCTAAGGTTTCCTTTTTCAATGAAACTTTTCCCACACTCCAGGCAGTTATATGGTCTCTTCCCTGTGTGAATTCTTCGATGGATACTAAGCTGCCCACTCTTACTGAAGCTCTTTGTGCACTCCGGGCATTTATATGGTTTCACCTCTGCACGAGTTCTTTGATGGGAAATCAGGGTGTTTTTCTGCACAACCCCTTTCTTACACCCCAGATATTTATACGTTTTTTCTTCCTTATGGGTATTCACATGCATCTGAATGTCTGATATTTCAGGAAATCTTTCCCCACTTACATTTCCTTCATTCCTATTGTCTCCCCTGCACAGGTTTTGAAGTCGTAGAATTTCTTGAGAAGAGTTACATTGTAAAAGACTGGAACTATTTATCCCTTTAAGTGCGTGTTTCCCTTCCTCCTTCCTCGGTATATCACAATATTCAGTATTCCCTCTTACATCAGTATATATGTTTTCTTTCGTCATCTCTACATGTGCTTTTGTTTCATTCACTGACTCCCACACACCTCCTGTTGAAAGAAAGAAAAACCTGGCATAAACACACAGAGAAAAACAGAGCCCTTAGAATGGAATCTTAGAACATAATTTTTTCTTTGAAGTGAACTGGAAGCTCGAAAAGCTACTACAATACAGAGGAGAAAGTGAGTCTCTCTACCCACAGATAGATCAGCTGACTGACCTGGGATCTTTAGTCACCTGACCGGCATCCTCCCTGCTCCTTTCCACTAAGATAAAAGAATGGGATTTCATGCTGAACTCGAACTTTGTTCTAGGGCAGAATTAACATACTTCAAATGAATGCTATTTCACATATGATTTATGTCTGGAGAGGTCTCCCAAAGAAATACTGGACTCCTGAGCAGGAAACACCGGAATAGGCTCATCTAGAAATCACCCAGCTCAATCCCATATGTAAGTGGGTGGCCCTGGGCTCTGTCCACTTAAATCATCCCAGGTGCATCATCCTGTAACTGAGGTTAACTGTGGCCTTGGCCACACGGGCCAGATACCGTGGGGGGGAAGCATGGCTTTTTGCCTACGTGCAGTTTAACGCGCCAGAATGCGATCAGACGCTGTGGCAGCAAATCAGGGTTTTGTTTGTCAGCGCGTGTTTCCGGCGGGCTTCAACATGGCGAAAGGAGCGCGCTTGAGCGAACACACGGAGGTATTCTGTCGACGGCCTGTGGAAAACTGTTCGCTAGTAGGTTTTTGCAGGTATTATTTAACTCCAAATTTTCGGCGGCACGCCACGGGTGCGCTATGCTTCCCAGATGTTGCCCTGTGATCGTGCTCTGAAAATCCACATGACATTAGTGTCTCTCCTGCAGCAAATTCTCCATGTGACCGGGGCCCCAGTTGGCCTGGCAGACAACTGGCCATCAGCTGGCCTCTGATCTATTCACACATGAGGATCTAACTATTTGGAACGGGGAACAAGGGTGTTTTTTGGAAACACTGGATGCCTACTGGTCTTGTTGTAAAGATTAAATAAAGCTTACGATTTCTACGAGGGCCTGAACTATAAGGCCAAATTTTCCTTGCAACCATGCATTTAGTTTTGTCTCTGTGTTGGAAAAAACACCTGCTAGAAAATGCTGTTTCACAGTGACCTTTTCTGTTGCAAAGAAATCCACAGCTGGATGCGGTTGTGTAAGACAACTCATGGTGACCTTTTTTTCAAATCTTTTTTTTTATTATTATTATTTTCATTTTTCCATAACATACACTCCATATCTTTTCCAACATTCTGGGGTTACATTAGACATTTTCTTCAATCCACTTATTGACTTTTTGCCATTTTTGCTTAAAGTTACTTTCTGTTTTTCCCGCCAAGTACATATTCAGCTTATCCATTTCTATTATTTCAAAAAGCTTCGTAATCAACTCTACCCTAGTCGGTATTCTGTCTGTTTTCCATTATTATTCTTGAGATTGTAATTTTGTACAGTATAATAGATAACTCATTATATTTAATCCCCTCTGGTGTGATTTCTGGTGTGATTGGCAAATTGATTCCTGTAATTTCTTCTATTAACTGCTTAATACTTTTCCAGAATTTTTGTATTTTCTCACACCTCCACCAAATATGAATATACGTTCCTATGTTATTCTTACACCTCCAACAATTTCCAGAGACATTAGTGTAGCATTTAAGCAATTTATCCGGTGTCCAGTGCCACCTATATAACATTTTAATTATATTTTCTTTATATGACATGGATCTTAAGAATTTAATAGATCTCCATGTTTTTTCCCATTTTTCTAGTCTTATATTGTGCCCTATGTCTTTTGTTCAAGTTATCATTGACGGTTTTAACCACTCCTCCCTTGTTTCCTCTTGTAGCAGGAAATTATATAATTTTTGAATCAGTTTATCCTCTGATTTTAACCATATGTTATCCAATTCTGATTTTGCTTTATAGAAAGACATTTTTTGTCCTTTAGAACTCTTGAGTTTAATTGTATCTTTTCCCAATTTGTAAGGTTAATATTCATTGATTGTATCATTTCCCAAGATTTTAACTCATTATCTTCATTCAATAAGTTTTCATACATTGTCTTTTTATCATCTGATATTAATGTTGGCATTATGAAAGCTTCTAAAGGTGATACCCACTTTGGAATTTTGTTGTAAAACCTTTCTTTAGTTTTTCTCCAAACTTTCATTAATGCTCCTCTTATTATATGGTTATGAAAGGATTTTTGTACTTTGTCTTTGTCATACCACACATAGGCATGCCAGCCCATGTGTAGATCATGACCCTCTAATTTTAATAATCTCTTGTCTTCCAATAGGACCCAATCTCTTATCCATCCCAAGGCCGCCGCTTTTCATGTTGCGGGATATGTTTAAGACCCAGAAACTTTTGGCAAGACCTGGAAATATGAACTTGGTAGTCATTAACTGCTAATGATTGCAACATTGGCCCAGACAACCACAGCCAAAATATGTGAAAAATAAGCATTGTTGCCAGAGACTTCTTGGCAGTGATTTAGTGAAGGAGTCTGAATATGGAGAATGCCTTTTTAAAGATTTAAACTGTATACCTTCAGCAGAGGTCCATCGGTGGCTCTTAGCCACAAGGTACAGATAGGAACTCTCAGTCTGGAGCAAGTGATGTTCTGTATTCTTGGTGCTTTGGGGGGGGGGCAATAATGCAAGGGCTTCTAGTGTCCTGGCCCCACTGGTGGGCCTCCTGATGGCATCTGGAATTTTTGGCCACTGTGTGACAGAGGTTGGACTGGATAGGCCATTGGCCTGATCCCACATTGGCTTTTCTTAGGTTCTTAGGATATTGATCTGTTTTAACTGATGCCTGCTGGCGCTGTACCAGTAGCGGATTACTTCACCAGTTTCTTTCTTGCTGATTTTGTATGTTAATTAATTATCATATGGCACTGTGTGTAATATAGCCAAGAGATCCTAAGATTGTCTGGCGGCCAGAAGTTCTAGCTCTTTAGCGTTATGCACCACTTGGTGGCGAGCTAGACCTGGTTTTTAAGGCAAGAGACTTTTCAGAGGTGGTTGGCCCTTGCCGGCCTCTGTGTCACGACCCTGGGATTCCTTGGAGGTCTCCCTTCCACGCACTAGCCAAGGCCTTTGACAACGAATTGAAACATCTGCAGAAAAGTTGGATAAACT